CAGAGCCTGACGCAGGGCTCGAACCCACGGACCGTGAGATCGTGACCTGGCTGAAGTCGGACGCTTAACTGACTGCGCCACCCAGGCGCCCCAAGTTTACTAACATTCTTATTAGGACTTACATTAAGACTTCGTATTGAATATGTCAAATTTTTTTCTAGCATTTAAACTAGGGAAGCCTAGGAGAGGAGCAAGTTCTACTACAGATGTATTGCATTCAAGATGCCTGTTAAACATCCAAGTGGAAATGTCAGAATGGCAGTGGGTACCTGAACAAACAGATCAGGGGAAGGGTTATGATCAAAAAGTCACTGGCACATAGATGATAATGAAAATTATGGGACTAAATAAAATTGCCTATGGAAGGAGTGTAGATGCAGAAGAGAAGCCCTGAGGCTTGCCAACATTTAGAAATCCAAAAGAAATAGAGGAGACAACAAGGAGACCAGAAAGAAGCAACCAGGGAGGAAAGAGGAAAAGCCAAAGAGTATTGTGTGACAGAAGAGAGAAAACTATTTCAGGAGAGGTGAAAGTTGATAATTCTATGGAATGCTGCTGTAAAACTGATTGACCAAGCCTATGGGGCATCTGCTAGGTGATAGGCTCAGTCACTGGTACTGGGGATATCAAAAACCAGGCACTGCCCCACCTCAAAGAGCTTAGAGTCTAATAGGGGAAATAGATCTATAAATTACAAAAAGCAATACATTACTGGCACTATGACAGAAGTGTGAGTGAAGTATAGATGAAACACAAAGGAAGCTGAGATCCTGGTTGATCGTCTTTGATCTGAATCTGGAATGATGAATAAGTGTATGTGGATAAGATGGAGAAGGACAAGGCAGGCATGGGGAACAGCATGAGCAAAGGTAAGCAGAAGTCAGGCATCTTTAGTTAACTTTATGGCCAGAGTAGTGGTGGGGACCACAGACATAGGTAAAGCTAAAGAAGATGACAAGAAGCCAGGTCACGAAGGGCCTTACATGCCCTGCCAAGAATCACACATGGGGTTGGAAAGACAAGTAAGATCAAGAAGACAAGATGTTTCAGAATGCTATCAAGACCACTGCTGTTTTAATGGTTGACCATGAAACCCAGGCTAGCTAGAAAAGCCAAAGAAATCAGAAGTTATGGATTGACAGACCCTGAAGAATAGTGAGTAACTGAGGAACCAGAGGTTGCAAAGATGAAAAGCAGATGTGGCCAGGAAGATTTCCTATTTTGCCAGGAACTCATGATTTCTTGGTGTCTTAAGTCCTTTTGTATTCTGAAATTCCTTGACTGTTCAAAAGCTAAATTAAGTTGTAAATTTTAACCCATCTAATTATGTGTATTTTAGAATGGAGAGCCAAGACATGAAATGACCGGCAATCTTCTAGAAGTCTCTAAAAACGCAAATCCAGACTACATCATGATGCAGGAACCGATAACAAAGGAGGAGTTGGAGCTAGACCTGGAGCTGGAGCCCACAGTGGAATCAGAACAAGAGACTGGACTAGATCTCGAGCTGGACCTGACTCATGGGATGGAGCCTGAGTCAGAGCTAGAGCCTGAATCTGAGCTAGAGCCTGAGTTAGAGCCTGAGTTGGAGCCTGAGCCCGAGCCCGAGGCTGAGCTCGAGGCTGAGCTCAAACCCAGGCCAAGGGCTCACACTTATCCTTGGCAGCAGTACTGGTCTCTGTATCCGTCTACACTTCCCAGATCTCCAGTTCAGGCTCGGCGTGGGACACCGTCAGTTGAGAGGAGGCGTCAACATATGAATTTATATTCACCCAAGGACAATAATACTGAAGACTGTTAGGAAATGAACTGGGAATAAGGAGTCAGATTCCCTTGGCAAACCCTCCCCACCTAAATGGGGTCACTTGGTCAGAAGACCTAGACTAGTTACAAACTAGCAATACTTGATTTGGGACTCCTTCATCTGCTGGCCTCTTCCTTGCTCAACATGGATCTCACTCCCAGATCACAATGCTAAACACCAAGAGTTATCTCTGAATTCCCTATCTAGGCTTACCTCATCTCACCATCAGCAGATATTCTAATAAAGGATTTCCTTCTTTGCACACCCCATACTCTGGGGGTTTTGTCCAAGCATCTCTAACTTACTCCTCTCATCTCCGTTCCCTTTCTCCAAAGAGATGAGACTCAAATAAAATATACAACTCTAGTTACATTTGGACACTTCCTGCATCTTTCCCTTCTCTATAGTCTATATGCCTAAAGAAAGGTTGGGTGGGAGAAATTCCAGAAGTGGGTGGACATGGTGAAGAAGATATAAGCAAGAAAAAGAAAAACTGGGTGGCATTTGTATTTTATATGCAAGGTATCTTCATTACACTGGTGGTGGAAATGGGGAAGTAGATAGGTTAAGTTAAGCCGGCCTGCAAGGCTTATAATCTAAAGAACTGTTACACTGAAAACACTTTTGTCATCACTCCAAGAGCAGGATGTTTTCCTAGTCCTACCACTGTTTCAGAAGACTAGTCAGCTGTACCAACTGATGAGAAGGTTAGCTCTATAGAGCTCTATTTGTTACCCAGATTCATATTCACCACTGTTTCGTCCTTACAAGTTTTTAAGATACAAGCAATCTAGAATCTGTATTCTTGGTGGACCAAACTTGGAGTCTATGACAGACACAACCTCTTAGGAACTGGAAAAGTCAGTCATTACTAGTTTGGTCCAAATCCATTTTAAAAATTTCCCCCTCCCCCGTTAAAAAATACCTAGTATTAAGCTACAAGCAAAAGATAAATATAGACCCCTGGGCAAAGGTTTATGGAATCCTGAATTTTATTTTCCACTCAATAAACAAGACTCCTCTTGCTTGGATACTTAATTTCTCTCATCCGTTGGGTTAAAGAAATTCTTATTAAAATATGTCTCTTATCACAGAGATGATATGTGCAATCACTTAGTCTACAAACATTCACTAAGCATCTGCTCCACACACACCCCAAACAGTGCAGTAGATAGAACAATATTAGCCCTACTTTACACGTATAAACTGAGGCTCGGATAAGTTTTGTAACTAGCCCGAGGTCATATACAACTGTACCCTAAAAGAGGTGGAGCCCAAGTCACAGGCTTCCTTTGTTCATGCTTACATTATACATTTATTGAACTCCTACTGTGTGCCAGGAACTGTCCCAGGTGCTGAAGATACAAGATGAACAGAAGAGACGACAAAAATGATTATAAATTGTGATAAGTACCTTGAAGGTAAAATATAAGAAAGTCTACAGGCATACATTAGGAGGGCCTGAACCTACCTCAGGTGTCAAAGAAGTTCTCCCTACAACAATGACCTATGACCTGGCACCTGAAGGATGAGTAGAAGTTAGACCTAAAGCAAGTTCCAATGACTGCTAGGAGGGCAGAGACAAATGGGAAACCAAGAGTGGTGACCATGGGTAGGCACAAAATCTGAGTACCCAGGAACACAGCTAGGTGTAACCTTATGGTAATTGCTATGGCACCAAGGGCTCAATCAGAAACTGGGTCAGACCCAGAATGAATTGTCAAGGTGGCAAGGCCAGGCACAGTAATTTGTCAAGACCAAGAAAGTATTTCACACTTAAAACAGGAGACTAGAAATATTTGGAGAGCCCAGTTTCTGTGGACTGCCTCCCTCTCACACCAGCCGCCTTCTATTCCTGCATTCCCATCAGAGGAAGGCCTTTAAATACAGAATGAATTGGCTTCTGACACTTGACTAGCAAGTGGTAGAGTTTAAACTCTGGTGCTTTCTGCTGCAACTACAACATAGCTAAATCTTGGCATTGGTGCATGACATCAGAAAGACCCAACTAGATGCTTGGACTACAGGCTATCTTTAAAGAATATGCTACTATAAACCCATAACATCCAGCCTTCCCCAAAGTAATAACATAAATACAAATGGTTAATTGATTGTAATTACTACAGCATTAAAGAAAACATAAAGTAACAATTCAAGGGCTGAGTCTTCTTCCAAAATGCGAATCACCTGAGATTCTAAGAGATTTCAAATTCTATAAAATACTACGGTTTTGGTTGCTTAGCCCACTTTTCATAGCATGGTCATCATTGCAGCCTTTATCATCAGTGAGAGACTGGAGAAAAATGCTAAAAACTGAAAAACCAGTACAGATTGGATCTGAAAGTGTCTTAGCACAAATTTTTCTCCATTACTGAAAAAAGAAAAACAAACCTCAAAGCATCTCATGTTCGATAGTAAATGGGGCTTGCGGTGTGATTTTTAAATATGAAGAACTAAGTAGAATCACTAGACCTGCAGAACAGTAGGTCTGGAAAAGAAACTGGTCAAAAGTAACATTAGGTATCTGTGTCTAAATATGTTAAATATCGCAAAGCCTAACAAATTGTAACATGAGTCTCATACATATCTGATTTAGACGATATGTAGATGAGACATTGGACTTAGACCTTCGGGGTTCATGACATGTGAGAAAGACAAGAACTTGGGGGGGGGGCAGAAGCGGAATGCTATGGTCTGAATATATCCCCCCCCAATATTGTATGTTTAAATCCTAATCCCCAAGGTGGAGGTATTAGAAGGTGGGGCCATTGGGAGGTGATTAGGTCACCCTTATTATTAATTACTAATGGGATTAGTGTCCTTATAAAAGGCCTCAGAGACAGCCCTCCTACTTTCCACCCCCTCTTGCCTTCCAAAGCAAGAAGATGATCATCTGTGAATCAGGAAGTGGGTTCTCCCTAGATGCCAAATCTGCCAGCACTCTGGTCTTGGACTTCCCAGCCTCCAGAGCCAGGAGAAATAAATTTCTGTTGTTTATAAGCCAGTAACCTGCAGTATCTTGTTATAGGCACCCAATTGAACTAAGACATCATAGTCTGAGGATAAAATAATGAATAAAGTATGATTTCTGCCCTCATACAGCTCCCAAACTACAAACAGGCATTGCAGGAGGGAGTGTCACAGACTCCTAAATGAAAAGGTGACAGTGAGAGGTACAGTACTATGGAAATGTAGATGAGAGGAGGGGTTAGAAAGAATGTAGATCCGGGGAAACAGTTACTGAGAAGAAATGATATTGGAGCTGGGCATTAAGAATATGTAGAAATTGCCAACTATTTTTCAATTAAAACGTTTGTTTGAGGGATGCCTGGCTAGCTCAGTTGGTTGAGCGTCCGACTCTTGATTTCAGCTCGGGTCATGATCTCACAGTTGTAAGATCGAGCCCTGCATTGGGCTCCACACTGAGCCTGGAGCCTGCTTAAGATTCTCTATTTGTGCCCCTCCCCTCCTTGTGCATGCACTCTCTGTCTAAA